CCCCCCCCCCCCCCCCCCCAAAAAAAAAACCCCCACTCTTGTGAGAGATTTGGCGAACAATAACTTTTGTTTGAATGCTATAAATCATACTTCCTTTTGCCTTAATTTATGTGGCGATTTTTGATTGGGATTGTTACACAAATAGCCATTAAAATTCAATGTTTACTTTTTTAATCGATATACATAAATTATATAATGGTTATATACGGTTATATATATTATATCTCTTGAATTATACATATATTATATATCCACCGGCTATAGCGACTATTTGGGTTGTTTCTTCTTTTTGATTAAGCACGAAATTTAAGAAAAAATAAATAAAAAATTTAAATTTCTGATTTAAAATAAGTCATTACAATTTTATATACAACAACGACGACGACGACCTAGTAAAATCCCACAAGTGGGGTATGTGGAGGGTAGTGTGTACGCAGAACTTACCTCTACCCCCGGGGTAGAAAGGTTGTTTCCGATAGACCCTCGACTCAAGAAGACGAAAAAGACAATAAATCAGAACCATCAACGAAAAAACTATAAGAAATAATAACAACATCACAAGAACCAGTAGATAGATAGAAAGCAAAAATAATAACTAGTAAATAAGACCCGACACTATGAAAACGGAAGAGTAGTGTGAACACAACATTGACCACTAGCAGTCTAAGACTAAATCCGATCAGCCCAGCCTCACACTGGTACGACTTAGAGATATGCCCAACTACCTCCTAACCTACAACCATAATGCTCGACCTCCACAGCTTCCTATTAAGGGACATGTCCTTAGAGATCTGAAGCCTCGCCATATTCCGCCTGATCACCTGTCCCCAATACTTCTTAGGCTGCCCTCTACCTCTGTGCGTACCCACCAACGCCAACCATTCGCACTTCCTTACCGGGGCGTCCGAGCTTCTCCTCTGTACGTGCTCGAACCATCTGAGCCTCGCTTCCCGCATCTTGTCATCCATGGAGCCACACTCACCTTCTCCCGAATATCTTCATTCCTAATCTTATCCATCATAGTGTGCCCGCACATCCACCTCAACATCCTCATTTCTGCTACTTTCATCTTCTAGATATGAGTTCTTAACTGGCCAACACTCAGACCCATACAACATGGCCGTTTTAATCACCACTCTATAAAATTTACCTTTGGGTAGCGGTGGCACTTTCTTGTCACACAGGACTCCAGATGCTAACCTTCATTTCATCCACCCCACCCCTATACGTTGTGTGACATCCTATTCGATCTCCCCATCCCCCTGGATAATCGATTGAAACTGCCTCTCTTGGAAATGACCTGCGATCCAAGACTCACGTCCATGCCCGCTTCCCTCGACTCGGCACTGAGCTTGCACTCAAGATATTCCGTCTTCGTCCTGCTCAACTTGAAACCCTTAGACTTAAGGGCCTGTCTCCAAACCTCCAGCCTCTCGTTAATAACACTCCGTGTCTTGTCAATCAGAACTATGTCATCAGCGAATAAAATACACCATGACACCTCTCCTTGAATATGGTGTATTAGTGCATCCATCACCGTGGCAAATATGAATGGGCTGAGCGCAGATCCTTGGTGTAACCCCATAACAACCGAAAAATGCTCAGAGTCGCCTCCCATTGTCCTAAACCGAGTCTTAGCTCCATCATACATGACCTTAATCGCCCTATTATAAGCAATCGGCATACCTTTAGCCTCTAGGCATCTCCAAAAAACCTCTCTAGGAACCTTGTCATACGCTTTCTCCAGATCAATAAATACCATGTGTAGATCCTTCTTCCTATCCCTTTACTGTTCCACCAACCTCCTAATAAGGTGGATAGCTTCCGTAGTAAAACGACCCGGCATGTACCCGAATTGGTTGTCTGATACAGATACCGTCCTCCTCACCCTCGCTTCTATCACCCTCTCCCAAACTTTCGTGGTATGACTCAGTAATTTGATACCCCTATAGTTATTGCAGCTTTGGATGTCACCTTTGTTCTTGTACAACGGAACCACCGTACTCCACCTCCACTCATCAGGCATCCTCTTCGTCCTGAAAATAACATTAAACAACTTAGCCAACCACTCCAAACCTGCTCTACCCACACACCTTCAAAATTCTATCGGAATCTCGTCAAGCCCGGTAGCTCTGCCCTTGCTCATCTTACGCAAAGCCCCCATGACCTCCTCAACCTTGATGCGCCTACTGTACCCAAAATCGCGGTCACTCTCGGAATGCCCCAACTCGACTAGCACAATATCCCGATACCCTTCTCCATTCAGAAGTTCGTTACAATTTAATGTAAATTTAAATAATTTTATTAAGGGTAAAATAAAATTTAAATTAAATAAAAAAGTACAACATTCTAAGAGAGACTAAAAAAAAGTATGATAATAGAGATTAGAGAGTAATAATTCGAAGGCATAAAAAGCGTATTTGTGTGAGCCAAAATAATAGAGCAATCAATAGTAGGAGAGAGCCGTGAATTGTAGTCATTTACATTCACATGTAATCACGTTGTCATTATTATTTGTGCGGTAGATTCAAGATTCCTTATTATCCGGTACTGTTTCTTAATTAGCAGTCCTTAACAGATAAATATCCATCAATTAGGGTCTAATCTTCACCACGTCACCGCCAAAGTGTGCTAATTAAAATACTTGAATGATCCAGTACTGTGGTCCACATCTTGAATGCCACACAGAAATTGTTCACATTGTAGAAACCTTAGTCGTCCCAACCTATTAGAAAATTGCTTTAAATGTATTTCTGCTTCATCAGGAGTGAAAGTTTCTTTAATTTAGTATCATTATATTATGGCTGGTAACTTTTGGTTTTTAAAATTTTCACCTCATATGATTAACCAACCGTGATTTTTAACTTATCATTCAACGTCGAACTTCTAACTGATACTTAGCGACTGTCGACTAAGCAGCCATTGTCGACGGAGAAGTAAACAAACCTTCCACTTTAGGAGTTGTCATTGGGTGCCTTCTCCAAAACGTAAACCCCAGCCTAACTTTTTGCTGAACTAATACACACATTTGACTGTAGACTTTAATTCTGCTGATATGGAAATTAACGTGGGCCATGTTTCATCATTTCCGACAAGTAGCCACTACGGGAAACACTCACGTGGCCTCATTTGGTTCGGAGGAATGTCCAAATTATTGAAGTTGATACTAACGAGATTATCGAGGAATTAAAAAAAAATGACAAGATTAGGTTCAAACGACTAATTGAGGTATTTAATTAGATTAGATAAGATTAAGAAGCAAAAATTAGTTTTAACTATTTCTTTCTCGTATTCTCATCACTATTCAACTAATTCAGGATTTGAATATTAGTAGTTGATTAATTGATTGATTCTCTCATCCATATTTTACTAGTTGTAAAAATACGAAGTTTGAAATTGTATTAAGATGTAATGAAAATGGATTAAAATCTGCGAAAGAATGATAGAGAGAGTTAAGGTCCGGGGGGAGGGATCCTGATATTTGTGATTAATTAATC